TTCTGCGTCTTCTTTCATAGTGTATTTTATCTCATTATTTAAATACGATTTTTAAAAGTAGCAATTCCAATATCTTTCATTCTAAAATTCAGTTTTTTACACATGACCTTTACATTGTTGATATTGTCAATCATTGAGTAGTTACGTTAAAAATATTTTCTTATTCTGCCCTTACATTAAATTACAGTTTATCTATTTTTATAAATTGCATCATACGTCACAAAAGTTAATATAAATGAAAAAATCTACTTAAAATTTTATTAAGGTACTCGACATTTTTTTCAAGATATCGAGATTTTAAATACACCAATCGATAGAGCGGAAAATTTGCAGTCGAACTGTATATATAACTCAATATCGCCATTTTGGCGGTTACATTAATTCATATTACGGTTGACGATATCGCTTATAGTTAGTTAGAGTAGATGTTAAAACTATTTAATCTTCTAAATGCTTTCGTCGAAGTATGTTACCTATAAATGTTTACTAATTTCACACTTAAAATAAAATCACTTTTTTTTTACGAATACTTTATTAATAAAAAAATAGTTACTAACAAATATCTTTCAAGGTAGAGAGTTCTTAATAAATTTACTTTGGAGTTGTAACATTTACGAATTTCTAGAGTATACAATACCGTAACATATAGTTTATTCACATTCGTATACAAAATCGAAAGTAATATTTATTTATGGACATCCAGAGATGGTGTTGGTATAGTTAGAGAAGAGTCGGTCACGATTTTTAGCTCACGATGAGGCATCAGTCAAAGTGATGACTAGCTCAGAGAAAGCGCAAATTATAGGTAATAAATACATCCAGTTCTCCTCTATCCAGGGCTGATCAATATAAGTACACGATACTATTAACTAAGTACTTAGTATAAAACGATTATTCGTGGCTTAATTCTTATCGGAAGATAATATACTCATCGAATTGGATCATGCTGGATAGTCAGTACGATTTCTCATCATCAACATCATCGTCACCACCAGCCTATTAATATTCCATGATCCACCACACGGGCTCAGTATGGATTGGTGTGTAATAACGACAGCAGTTGCATCTCGAGATAATCAATTTTCGGTCACCCATCTTATAATGATCGCATGGCGAAAGTTGCTTAACTTCCGCATCGCAGAATGAAAGCGTTAACCACTGCGACATCGATGTCCCAATGATTTTTCAACTAATTCCTTATCCACACAGTTCCTCTCCTCAATATTGTTTCCGTAAGGAAGTAAGCGTTTAAGCAAAGAATACAGCGGTGATACGTCTTAAAAGACGCGCAGATGTGTGAAATCAAATGAGGAACCAACTGTAAATTAGCCAACCTTCACTTTTTCCAGTCGACTTATAGATAAGGGGCGTTTACACAATATATTACCTTAATGGTTTCCGGCAATGTCTTTAAAATCGTAGTTTTTCACATCAACTTTAACCTACTACAAACCTAATGTTAATATTTACCTAGACGAATTGCTATTTTTTTTTGTAATCTGAAATTTATACATCATTACGCAAGTTCTGCTACCAACCAACTTCAATAAAAGAAGGATATTCTCATTTTTTTGTATAATATGAAAGAATATTCTGCGACATTTTAGCCCTTCAAATTTATATGAGGATTTTTAGTAGAGCGCATTATAAACAATTTTGTTGCATTGTAGAACATGTCTCTCACTTGTTGGTATACTAAGTAACTAATTGAAATTAATACAACTGCCGTTGCACTCAAATCTGGCGCTCTTTACCGTCAAAGAAGTTGCTAATTACGCGGTAAGATATAAAAAGGTCTTCAAACAATATAATGAAACTTAAACCACAAATAACTACCTACTAATATACCAAGCAAGACTTTATGTAAAAAACAACTTGAGGCAATTAGAATTTACATTTGTAAAACTTTATAAAATTCAAAAGTATCTATACGGCAATGAAGTCATTGAAAAATGTAATTTGTAGGTATGAATCTTCGATCAATTGTGGATCGAAGGTATGAATTATAAAAGAATGGTCCCATGGGAACATACAATTTTTACAAAGCTTAGCCGCGGCAAAACGTGACCGGGTTTAATTAATGGTTAGACAAATGGAAAACCAAACATTTTACAAGCACATCTCACCGAAGGGATTTCATAACAACTCAAGGACTTCCGAGGCGTAAAACTACACGGATCATTATTTTGTAAGCAACTTGTTTTATTTGGCAACTTATAGTTCAAAAGATCCTAGTGATATTATTATTCATACGTTGATTATTTATTTTTATTAGATGCATAGTTGACTTTAGCGACCTTCTCGTAACCTATTATCAGTAAAAGGTAGGTCTACCAGTGTTGATTGCTTACATGCAAATTTATTGAGAAACAAATGGCAATCGATGCCTGATAACGGCATAGTGCCTTTATATTCGTTGGTCGAATCTAATACAAACAGGATATTTTTAAATTTGATTTACCTAATATAGACTTATCGTAACACCATTACCTGAGTAGTACTTAAAACAAACTTTTACTTTTAGTTTATATATTTTATTTGTTTCGTTATCTTGTTGTTATATTTTCATGTAATTTTCGAGATAACATATAAGATAATCATATGCTGTTGCGGACTTTTTTTAAACTTTTCAAGAGGATCAATTTCATAATACATGATTTTTGCTTAACTTTCACCTTTTACGCAGCGCATGCACGGAAAGCCTTACAAAAGAAAAATATTCTCCCGTTTCACAACATTATTCTTTGCTGTTCCACTCCTATAAGTCATAGCGTGTAGTTATAAAGCCTATAGCTTTCCTCCATAAATGGACTATTCATACACAAGAAAAAACGAATTGGTTTCAGTAGTTCCTGAAATTATAAGGTTCAACCAAACAAACAAACAAGCGCTTCAACTTTATTATTGTATAGATTTTTCTCTGATATTTATTATTTATCAACAGTAAAAAAGCTTGGTGACGTTTTTTTCATATTTCATGCAACAAATTACAAATACCTATTTATAGGTATGAATATAGGTAATTATAAACCGGTAAATACTTATTGCTCTAATGTGAACATTACGTTAGTTTTTAAAGTAATACATATTTTAAACAACTTTTTGCTAACTAACCTTCATAATCATAAAAACATATCGAATGATCTATGAAAAGATTGTTTTTTAAGATGAATAAATCTAACAAAAAACAGATTCTATACCCATCTAATAAACATTAGTAGACCAGAATAAAATGATTAAGCCGACTTTCTTAAGCCGGTGAATTATTGAATTTGTAAATAGCAAATTAAAAAACAAATATATAAACGTTTATATTGGATTTTGTATTTACAACGCTAAAGTGAAAAATATTCTTAATGAAAAATTTAAACTTTTGAATATCAGAATTGTAAGTTCCGGATATATTAATTTATTATAATATTTTAACGGGAAGTAACACTGACGTCTGCGAGTTTATAGAGGTCATTCTGCATATAAACTGGATTATTCTATTTGAATGTATCGAGTAAAAAACACATGTCAATATTCTTAATGAAAAATACTTAAAAGATCCACTTTATACCTGGCACTCTGAAATGGGACTCGAAACCATGACTTTTCGCAAACCGGGCTTTTTAAGCATTTTTCAGTAAAGCACTGTGAATGCAAAATTAATCAAATATAATACTTACTTTACTAGATTTTCATATCGGTTTAATTTATGAGAATACGGAAGGTTGTCAAGTAAATAACAGAAGAGTCGGGATACTCATTGAAAATCTTCATCGAGGTAAAAAAAAATGCTATGATATAGGAACCGAGGTAATCGCGAAAAAGAGATTTTTATGACTTTTGACCTTGGATTAACGAAATTCCACTATCCGCTTTTTTACTGTTTAAATACAAGCTAATGAAAAATTCGTTTAAGTAGTTCTTGATATGATAGAGTTAAATCAAACATACAAACCCTTTAGCTTTATTATAAGTATAGATTGCAGTGCTGATTTTGTTTTATGAAGAAAATACGTCAAGGCATATGACTAGAAACACGCTACAAACACAGAAAGAGGTCATCTTTGTGTCCTGTGGCTACAAAATTATGTGTAGATAATCAGATTGTAATCTATTACTGTTGTGTGCAACATAAATGTGATTTTAAATCTTTAAATTTTCATTGTTCTATATAGTCTATAAACCGCCATCCATACATTGTACAGTTTACCTATTTAATATCCACATTCTAAACAATTTTTACTTAGTCCCCACAAAGAAACATCTAGTTTTACTCGGTTATGATATTTTCCGAAATCTGTGAACATCCTACAATTATAAAATAAAGGAAATTATGTAGATAAATTAATGACAGAATTATAAAGAGATGAGAAGTTCTCTGCTTAGGTTTAAAATTTAAATAGGTAGAAAAAAAACTAAATATTTCTACCAAGTCCAATCATAATAGATATTTATTTCATAAAACTACCGGAATATTGCTAGTTTTCTTTTCTACCTAATTAATAAGTAAAAATGTTACTTGCCTGTTTATAAACAATAATATAAAAATTACAGTCACTACACAAAAGTCCACCAAAAGTTTATAAGATTTACAACGGTCACGAAAACTTCGCGTTTGTTTACGCGGTTGTCATGACAACGCGTAGAAGTTCAATATGGCGCACGGTGCGCGCGCGCCTCAGTGCACAAACGCAGACTGGTTGCGCTCGCGCAGCCCGCCGACCGCCGACCCGGCTCTTCGGAAAGCGAGAGGAAGAGCAGGCCCCAAGCAAGTTTGTTAAGCGAGGACAAACATGCATACCTCTAATAATTCGCCATTGATTCGATTTGCATTCAGAGGAAATTAAATAGCTTTTGTGCTTGTTAACGTTGCACGTCTCAGGTGATTAACTTTATTGACGATAAATCAGTACCCATTATTACCGTCATAGACAACCTTTACCTTGAGATTTTATAACCTAGAGAAGACAGGACGCTATTATGTAATGATAAAAGAAAACATATTATATAAATGTCATGTAACTTTATTTTATATAGTTCTTACATTGCACGAATAAAATTAATCAATACACGACCCTTACTTTGCCATCAAAATAACATAAGTATAAGAAAAAAAAATTTACTAATTTCAGTACTTGTTCTAATTCTAGTATGATTATTATAATTAAAAATGATAAAATAATATTAAATTGCCAATACTATTAATATTATTATGACAAAATTGTGACAAGCATTATATTTAATTATCTACCTACAAAAATAATATGAAAACAATAAAATTAACCCATTTCACACAAAAAAGTTCCCGTTGAGGGCAGATCTTGTGAAAACTAATTAATATAATGAAATGGTACACGTGTTATAAGTCTACATCACTATGTTATAACAGTAGTAAGTATATGCTACATAAAATGTTGGCTAAATAACGTAATTTAATCCAGTTACGAAAATTAAAATTTAATTAAAACAAATGATATGATGCATTCTTGTAGCGTTCGACACGTATGTGCGACTCGCGGGCTTATATTGTACACTAATAACATAATAATGCATTCAGTGGATGATCTTTCACGGGAAAAGTAATTTAGTTGCAATGCAATAAATTTCATATTGCCAAACAATAAGGCAAAGGTCAATGAGTTGGTTAAATCAATGTTGTTCTTTTTGAATGCTGTATTAGGCTCTAAGCGTACAATGTTAATTAAAATAACACTAAACTAATAAGAACACAGTAAAGCGGTAGGGTTACAAGCGACAAAAAAAACACCTTTATACTCCAAAGAGAGTAAATTAAAAAAGTTAGAACAAGTTATATACAATACTTAAGACAGTTCTACTATTAAATATTTTTTAACTATCCATTTTTATATACAAAATATTTTTATAGCAATAATAATAAATTATAGACAGAGAAAATTTACAAGCGACCGATGTATTAAAGTTATCTATACCGATCGACAAACTACAACAACACCTTTAGGAACCTGATGATCGTTCATGAACCCGATAAGTAGACTGCCTAAATAGTATTTACAACTTGGTCAAAACATTTCGCAACAAACTGTTCTTTCTCATCCAACTTTCGAACGTCACTGGACAAGTGACGAGTCAACATGGCCTCTTGAAGGGCGGTTAGAGCTTCAGACGTGAATCTTTTACCCTTCATATGGGTAATCACTGAAGCTTCGCCGTGGAATCCGGATTCTACGAACCCAGGTGGGATGTTAAGAGTGACGTCATCGATAAGACCTTTAACCACGCTCATGTTTATAGCCAGCTCCTGTGTGCCTGAATAGACCTTGGAAGGTGCGAGCAGTTCCGCAGGCACGGGGAACGTACGACTAACTGTGAAGTCGGGAGTTCTTCCGAAACACCAGTCCCAGCCTTGGAGTTCGCTCTTTAATTGTGCTAGACCTGTATAGAAGATAATATTACTATTATAGTCATTAGAAATGACAAGGCACTGTTTTACAATCAAATGTAACGTCAAAACATAATAACATAATTCAGTAAAATTCCACTCTATAATATATAATCTAAAGAAATTTAGTTACTGAAACTTTGCCCCCTTTGATAAGATGATGTGCCTATCTCACTAAAGATAAATTATGATTGCATTATTATAATTGACGGCACTTAAATATCAACCTTGATAACGTCAAACTCGTCATGTAGTCAATAACTATATAAAAAATTTAATTATAATGCATAAAAACTTCACGTTCTTCTGAGTAATTAATACTTGGAAGCACCTCGCATTGTATCCATGATATTTAAATGTAAAAACTTTGTTTACCAGGGAACCATTCCTCGGTGGGGTTGATGAACTGGAATCCACGCTGCTTGGAGATAGTGTTTTGACCACCATCTTCTAAATGGAGCGCTGGGGTTCGCAGGTACTCGTATCCGACTGCTGTCTGCAAGCTGTCCACCGTGACCCGGTTGTCCATCTCCACCAAATTGGCCACTGGAGACGGCGTAGAGGGCGTCGCGTTCGTCTGTATGCCATGCTAAATAGAATTACAAGTTCTTGACTGATAAATGAAGGGAACGGGAAAGGTTAGTGTGATAGTAACAAAGGTGCTGAGCCATGCATTTTACGAGTATTAGCATTGTTAAGAAACTATTTTTTTCAGGATTAACAGATAGTTTAAAAAAAGGTTTAAGGTAAACAATAGTAGCAATTATCTTGTACAACCTAGACCAAATATAGGTTTAGTCCTTTATTGTCAAAATAACTAAATAAACAGAAATTAACATATTGATTGTCTCCTTTTTAGTTTAGAGAGTGGTACAACAGAATTAGCACAAATTCCTTTGAGGGCAGTCAAAATATTTACATACATATTAATTTGAATCAAGTAAAATTTTTATTTTCATTTTTTTGCCAAAAATTTTAAGAGTTTTTTCCAAAGTAATTTCAAGTATAATGCGACTCTGTCTTGAATAACAATGTAACAAATGAAAATAGAACTATCGTCCTAGCAACAATGCATGCTTTATGCTAATAACTATGCACTTTGGTAAACAATGATTCATTGATGTTTGTGATCTTTGACATCCTTGCATAAAATGTAAAAAGTAGACCATGTTTAATATTAATTATGATTCTAAACGCAACAGAGGAATTGGTATGAAAATTTAATCTCATTAACTAGTAAAATGAAAATGATAAACAAATAATATGTTTAAATTAAGGTTTATATTGGTTACAATAATTTGTTTATTCTAGTTTTCAGCCAGTTAAATTGACATTTTAAGACCATTAAGCATAATATTACATAAATAAAGCAATGAAATTCTAAGTTCGATCCCATCACCAGTCGTATACCATAAATAAATAAAAAAGAAAACCTATTCATTAGGCTTTATAATACCAACCTCTCTTTTTGCCAAAGCACCCTTGAGATCGTTTTTATTAGCGTTGACTAGTAAGGTGCAGTGATGATATGCTGTTAGCCGGCTCAGCCTTGAAGCTGTTCCAGAAATCTGATAGAGTAGAAGATTAAGGAAATACGTTTGGTAACAAAATCATGCTCATAGTATTTTGTAGTACTTACTACAAGTAATTTAAATGGTATGTCTTAAATAATTAATACAAAGTAGCACTGGTGAATACCAAAACTAAAATAACTGTAGATTATGAACTTAACTTTCGACATTTAAGGTTTAAAACCAATGGATGAATGTTTACAGTTGTTATTAACTGACATGATGTTGACTGTACAAATTATTTGTAATCTAATATTTCAGGAATTTTTGTCCTGACATACTGACTGACTGACTGACTTAGAGACAATACACAGCTAAAATCATTGGTTGTAGAGATTTGATTTATGAGTTCAAAACATTGTGTGAAAGTTCTTTGGTTTCAAACTTATAGCAATGAAAATTGGTAAATAAAATTATGTTTTTCAATCATAATTTTCAGAAAAATATTTACTACAAATTATTTCATATACCAAAGAAAAATTGTGACATTCAATGTATTATAAATCATGTTATCTTATAAAAAAATAAATATTGATGGAAGTGTTTGAAAAACTGAAGGAAGGCATAAGCTAGTATTAGTATAAGTATAGTTTATGACATTATTGGTAAAGGATACTTTGTATTTATTTCTAACAAGGAGATCTTGGCGTTCATTGATAACAGATTTGATTCCAAATCCTCTAAACAGTGCTCTCTTGATGAGCTCCAGGTTATATTTTCTGTCGTACCTCTCAACTGGTGTGAAAAAAGTAATATTAAGGTTTCCCCTATCATGGTATACAGTGCCACCACCACTGTTACGTCTGGCCAGAGCTATATCCTTTTCTGCCAGAAGAGGAACATTGGCTTCCAGCCAAGGATTCTGGTGCCTTCCGATAACAACACAAGGATCATTACGCCACACCATCATCACATGATGTTTAGTAAAATCCATATTGCGATACATCCAGTCTTCTAGAGCCAAATTAGTAAATACATCCGTTGATTGGGACATAAATACAGACTTTGTGATCTCCCCCTCTGCCGGTAATTCACGTTCCTTGGTTTTGGTAGAGAGGTTAATACCTGTGGTTGCCAGGCAACGAGCACTTGTTCTTCTAGTGAGTCCCACCACAACACAAGCACCACTCACTACCATTTTCTTCATCATTGATTGAGCCATCTTGTTTATGATTTATATATATCAACGGAAACTTTTCTGTATGAACTTTATAGTAACAATTATTAAGCGTGAATTGTTTATTCTACTTAGCACTATAAACAAAAGAAAGTCCAAATACTTAAAATTGATTAGTTCTCTAATGCTTTCTGCAGCAACAGGCGTCAGTATCAGCCGAAGAGAGGGAGATCAGATATTCGTGCAGAGCGATTGTCTGATGCAGCCACTTCCAAGTTTGATGCAGGGAGTTAATTCGATAACGAATACCCAAACAGTCTCGACAGTCACTTGGCATTCCTCCTCTTGGATGCAGGATGAAATAGAAAATCACAACCGATTAAAATAACAACACTTGTGAACTTATATAACGAAAAAAATGAATATAAAGGAAATTCCAAAAACTATGAAACAAAATCTACTTCAAAGTTGATACACGATGTGTGAATGCGCGACGATATCTGAGCCAGTTAAAACATTCCTTCTCATTTTATTTGTGCTGATAACGATAAGCGAGCCGAGGAACTAGGAGGTCGAGCGCGAGGGCACTCGAAGTTCATTCGTATCAAATAAATAACGTGATAAGAAACACGAATACGCCACGCGCAACAGAACTTAATCTATCATTAGTAAACATACCAAAAAGACGAGCGCTATACATCACTGTGCTATTTGATAACAAAGAGGGTAATTATCTTTTAGAATGAAAAAATGTAATGGTGTAGAAATAAAATCGGAAGAATTCATAGGTATAACAAAACGTAGTGTTTAAATTCTTTTCGGGTTTAGTAGTGTAAAATAAAGAACGTAATGAAAAGACAGTAAAGTTGCCAAATTGATTGACGTTGTCAAGGGCTGTTGCCCTCCGATTCTCTAATAATACAGACCCCGAATTCGAATTCACTTATATGTCCGAATTCACGTCCATTAGTATAAAAATTCAATTTTTTTCTAAAAAAATTACAAAACAAAATAGGTAGAATATACGTGTTTCAGATATTTCATTCCTACGTCATTTCGAAACTCAATTCACTTATGCCACGAAACATTATTATTCATTCAAGGTTGAGCGGATGCCGCTTTCTGAAGTGAATTCGGACACCTGAGTGAATTCGAATTCGGGTTTGGATTTTTACAGAATCGCAGGGCAGTAGTATTGCCAGTCGCCACAGGCAGGTTTATAAAAGCAACTTTGTTCATAAACTTCGTTTATATGGTATATAAACGATTGTGATAGCGATTTATGGTATTTTATACCTATGGCCTTTAAAGTCGCAATCGCTTTTGGAATTAATGATTATTTGTATCATCAAGAAACTTAATGAAAATTTTGTCAAACCCGTCAAAACGTTACAGTTAGCATTAATTTGACATTACTCAATAGCTTTCAAAAATATTTCCGTCTAACGCGTTACTTACACATTGAGGAAGTACCTATTTAAAAAAGAAATCACCTCCACTAGATGGCGACTCTAGCAAAAGTTACTTTTTGCAGGAAATGAATGGACTAAAGTGGAACAAATGTGAAAAAGTACAAATAGAATATGAGTTGTTTATTGAGTTTTGAAAATTAATTTACTTTTATACATGAAAGTAAAACGGAAGGGTTGTCATGAAGAAATCAAGAACGTACCGTAGTGACATCTAGTTTGATCTAAACTTACTTTACGTGTTTTACGTAATTCAGTTGTTGACTCCCTGAACATTGATGAAAATACGCTCTGCAATAGCGAAAAAGAAACAAATGCTTGAAAAATTCGTCAGTCCTGTTAAGTCCTGGGTAGCTCAGTGGTTAGAACAATCACCCGAATTGCGTATTGTAATTAGACAGTTGATATAACTACTTGGCTACAATATAAAGATAGTGATGAATCAAATCTTCAACTTTATAGTTGGCCTTGGGTCATTATAAGAAGCCACATTTGACATCTATCAAATTGAAATTGATAGTGAGGTCTCCTGTATAAACTTTTGGTAGTGTCGCCATCTTATGGAGGTGCTATTTTAGTACTTTTTTTAAATACTTCCTCATTCCTAATCGATATTGTATTCAAAGAAAGGTGAATCGAATGCAGTTGTTAGGCAAAACTAAATTCGATTAGTAACATTGAAATGAGACATAATTTACTGTTTGTTAAATTATGTCTCAATTATTATTTGACAATTATATATATTGTAACAAGAATAACTGAAAAAAAAAACAAAAATAAAATTCATAGTTGTTTTGCTCAAATATACCGGAAATTACAAATAAGCATAATGCAATAACTTTAAAGTGGGTATAAATCAAAACAGTGTACTTGTCTATCTCATTGCCCACGACAAATAATACAAAAAGAAATTGAAAAATTAAAATTTTTTGGGAAAAAGCAGAAGACCCAGTTCTTATCACTGACAAAATGTGTTTAGTAATTTGCCATTTAAACTAACGCATTTGCGTTAGTAGATGACATTTATAGTCTATTCAACTACCTCTGAGACAAAATGTAAACAAACAAACCAATGTTTCTCAAACTTTTTTATTGATGTTGATATGTAAATAAATTTTGTTAATGGGACAAATTATTGTATGGTAGGTATGCAATACAATAAGTCTATTTCTTTTACAAATAGCAATTGTAAGAGTCACATAATATTATTCAGAATCTTCCTCGTCTTCCTCTGAGGAACTAGTCGCACCAACTTCTATCACAAAACGGTCAACCAAATCATCTATGATACCATTAAGTTTTAAAAAATGTTGTTCTTCTTTTATGACATGGTCAATGCACTTTAGCACAGTTCCTACTGTTACCCTTTTTAGAGCATCGGTTAAAAATTTTTTATTTCATTTAACTTATAATTTATTGATGTTTTCCTCCATAGGTTGCCTGGAAGATATTGCTATGTAGCAATAAGGCCGCCTTTTTGTATACTGTTTTTCTTTTCTTTTCTCAAACTGTGTAATTTGTAACTCGTGTGTGCAATAAAGTATATTATTATTATTCCCGTATCCATAATTTACTCTTCCTGACCCCTCGACGATTCGAGGGGTGGGAGGATTCCCCCCGGCAGAGTAGGCCAGACGGCCGGGGGTCAGGGCGACAAAGCGAGAAAACGGCGGACGATCCTTGCGTTATCGAGCAAGATCGCCCGCTGGAGCCTCGCAATCATTGGTCCGTCACGGAGTCCCAACCTCTTCAGATGGTCGTGAAGAGAAGTCGGGACTAGGCCATTCGTTGACACTACGACTGGGATGATCTCAGTGGATGACACTCGCCACATATCGGTAACCTCGTGCGCCAGGTTCAGATATTTAAGTTTTTTGTCTGATTCGGCTTTCACGAGGTTTTCATCGAATGGGACGGTGACATCCACTAAGAACACCCGAGATTCCGCCCGGTCCATCAGTACGATATCAGGCTTGTTCGCCGGAACAGTCCTGTCCGTAATGACGGACCGGTCCCAGTACAATCGAGCGCGGTCGTTTTCAAGAACTGCACATACTTATAGTACGGCACCTTTTCGCCTATGAGGCCGTATTTGAAGGCTAGCTCGAGATGGAGTATTTTGGCTGCTTGGTCATGTCTGTGCAAATACTTGGTATTAGCCAGTACAGGACAACCGGAAGTAATATGCCTGAGTGACTCACCGGGCTGGTGACAGGCTCTACAAACGTCCTCTGTCCCATCCTTCAGGATATACTTCCGTCCCTTCCGTCCTTCTATATACTTCCGTCGGTCCCCGAAGCGCAGCCAATGCACGGAGGCTCTCGGATCCACATAACGCTCGTGTAGCGCCTTGTAGAACCTACCGTGCAACTCCTTCTCCCTCCAAATGGCCTCTCGGTCAGTGGTGCTAAGTACTGCCGGTTCTCGCCATTGCTCGGTGGCCAAAGAGAGAGGGATTAGTCCTACATCACATGCTTTGACATCTCTATGCAACTCACTGGATTCCGATTTCGCCAGGAAGTAATTACGGAGACTGTGTATCTCGCGGTTGTGCAGGGTTTTCGCACTGAGCAGCCCACGACCGCCGCTCTTCCTCGGGATATACAGCCTCATCACTGACGATCTCGGGTGGTGCATCCTATGGAGTGTCAAAGTTGTGCGCACTTTCCGATCCAGGGCGTCCAATTCGGTCTGAGTCCATCTGAGTATGCCAAAGGTGTACATTAGGACTGGCATGACCCAACCGTTGATGGCCCTGACTTTGTTGACGCCTGACAGGTAGCTTTCAAGCACCTTAGTCAGGCGTCCCAAAAAGGCCCCCTTAACGGATTGTTTCACGTCCGCCATATGCACACCCAGATTCTGTGACATACCCAGATACCGGTATGTATCAGTTTCGGAGAGGGTACGGATGGTGGATCCATCCGGTAGGTCCACTATATTATTATTAAAACTTAGCAATAACAGAAAACAACAAACTTAACAACTGGAATAAACAAATAACAAGAATTTAACGAAAGCATTTTGTACGAGTCAACGAGTTGATCGAGAGTAAAAATAGCCGGTATAACCCGACTAATTACAAAATTTCACGTAAAGTATTTGTCTTATCACTACTCCTCAATTTAGTAGTATTATAATACGTCCAATGTTTGGGAACAGCTTCAATTTTAGGTATTTTTAATGTCACTTTCTTTTTTAATTAATTCTAAATGCATTTATATTTTGACATATTAAAGAACCTTTTTCCAGTTTGTTTACATTTTGTCTCAGAGGAAGATGAATAGACTTTAGTTGGGTTTTTTACTAACGATTATAAATAATCGTCTTTTTCATTTTTCAAAAACGAACATGATCGTTTTTTTAAATTTGATATGATGACAAAGCTGTAATGTGTCAAAGTTCTCTTCTTCGTAAAGCTGACCAAAACCGAAATGGTAAAATCAGGTTATCTGTCTTATCTTTGTTATTTTGTACTATAGAGAAAAAATTTATAAATTCACGTTAAAATAAATCCTTACAAATATTACATAAACATTAATAATTATTTTATTTTTATTTATTACAGCTAATTTGTACATTATTTCTTGGTACAAAACCAATTGAAAGTTGGTAACTTTGGTTTACGCGCTCTTTGAAGAGTAACCAAGAACTTTAAATACCAAGTCAAATATTTTTAAAGATTTTTAATAAGATATATCTGCTATTACCTTACCCAATAAGATGAGTGACCAAAATATAAAATCTCGGTTTCGTGTTTCAAACTATAAATCGCTGCTCAGCTTTTGAACTTTTGCATTTGCAGTGCTATATTTGTTTATGGTATAAATATTTTCTAAGTAATATTTTATAAATTTAACGCAATTGAAATAGTATTTTAGTCAGAACGTTCCCATTGTGCTCATTTGTTCATGCCTTCATAATTATAAATTCAACTTCCTAGTAGACAAATCACCGTTTTTGAGTTTTTGGAAACATCCCTAGTGTCCAAAAAGTGAATGGATCAACAAAACGGCGATTAGTTTAATTAGAATGTAATTGATATTTTATATTTAATAAGATTTATTACTCAAAATCAAACGTAAAATTGTCTTATTTTTTAATTTTGAATGATTTAAATCAATTGATATTTGTAGCGTTTTGCGCTATATGTTAATATGATTAATAGATCTATAGTCTATTCAACTTCCTCTGAGACAAAATGTAAACAAACAAACCAATGTTTCTCAAACATTTTTATTGATGTTGGTATGTAAATAAAATTTGTTAATGGGATAAATTATTGTATGGTAGGTATGCAATACAATAAGTCTATTTATTTTCAAATAAAACTAGCCATTGTAAGAGTAAAATAATTTTATTCAGAATTTTTCCTCATCTTCCTCTGTGAAACTAGTCGCACCAACTTCTATCACAAAACGGTCAATCTCCTATTTAGAGCATCGGTTAATAAAGATTTTATTTCTTTTAACTTAAAACTTAACAATAACAGAAAACAACAAACTTAACAACTAGAATAAACAAATAACAAGAATTTAACGAAAGCATTTTTCACGAGTCAACGAGTTGATCGAGAGTAAAAATGGCCGGTATAAACCGACAAATTACAAAATTTCACGTTTCTACGTAAAGTATTTACCTTATCTCTACTCCTTAATTTAGTAGTATTATAATACGTCCAATGTTTGGGAATAGCTTCAATTTTAGGTGCTTTTAAATGTCACTTTATTTTTTCATTAATTATAAATGTATTTATATTTTGGCATATTAAAGAACCTTTTTCCAGTTTGTTTACATTTTGTCTCAGAGGAAGATGAACAGATTATAATTTTATTTGCGTTTTTTGATTTAAAAATAAATTCGATTTTGTTGTCAACTCCTGGAGAGAATGAGTTTATTCGAGTTTGAAATCGATATAACATAAACTAAATGTCGAGTTGAAAGGCAATACCACTAAGTCTGTGGGCAATACTAAAATTTGACATTTTGGTCTGGACTTTCTTGGACTGATTCCATCTGATACCACTATAATTGCGATTGCAATCTCAAAAAGATAAGTTTTGAAAAACTTATTGCACAAAAATTAAAGAATGGCACTTAGGACAACTGCTGTTTTATGTAAGTTATGACTGAATTATTAAAAGCTCTGCAATAAAGACGCATGTTGCCTGTATTGATATTATATAATACTATTTATTTATATTTTAGGTAATAATATGAAGAAATGGGCATATAATTTAGCTGGATTCAATAAATACGGTGCGTATACAATAACGTAACTATGTCCCTATATAAAAAAATATACTAATTAGTTTCCAGGCTTCAACGTTTACCTACTACTAGACTAGCTATTCAGAACAAAATTATGCACAGTACGAGCTTGGTGGACGCTTTGCAGTCTTCCCAGCTTGTCTTTTAATATACCTTGAAGTTTTTGCTAGTTCCCTTAAGAGAATGACTGAAATAGCAATTGGTGAACCCATAAAGAAAATGCTTTAATTTGCAGTAATGTAGAAAAAGCACTATTCACTATCGTTTCGGGTCTGGGTATTGTGTTACCTTCGTTGTCTCAGATACTCCATAACATGGGGGCTTTAGCTACTCATCTTGGAATCTGACAAATGTATGTGATGTTGTTTATTATTAATAAAAAAAATATCAGTATATTAACTTTATTCTTTGGACTAAAACATAATATGTTCTTTGTGGTGTACAATAAAGTTTTTATTAATTCAATTTTTGTTAATTTATTTCTTTGTTCAAACATTTCGTACTATTTTGTCACCCACTGAAAACTACCACTTAGATACAGAACATAAAAGATCTGTAAAAAAAAATTTTATTGATTACATTCTTATACTTTTCTTTTAGGTCTGATGCGTGATGACTGCCTTTATGAAAATGATGATGTCAAAGAAGCACTACGTCGCCTGCCTGATCATGTGGTTGATGAGCGCAACTTCCGCATGGTGCGTGCCATTCAGTTATCCCTTCAAAAGACTATTCTACCCAAAGAAGAGTGGACTAAGTTTGAAGAGGACAAACTTTATCTAACTCCTATTGTTGAACAGGTGAAGAAAGAGAGAAAAGAACGTGAAGAGTGGGAGAAAAATTATTAAATTTCTGTTTACCTATTATAGTTATATGCACTATTTAATTTAATAAAATTAGCAAGTACGTTGTATTTCATTATTACTTATCTACCTTCCCCACAAGGGATATATCCAGATTTTATAAATGCGCCCTTGATTCAGTCAGACGCTGTTAATTATTTTAGATATATTTACTAGATTAAATGATAATTACTAGTTTTGTGTTCATTATCGCTCCTCAATCAATTTTCAGAAGTTTGTTTTGTACACTTTATAAAGAACAATGGTCAAAATGGACTACGAAAAAAAAGTTCTTGTACCAAGATGGAACTATCACCAAAATGTAGTATAAGTTGAATGTAATTATTATACACATCACCAGCCCTTTTACGTCCCCACTGCAGGGGCTCAGGCCTTCCTTATGGATGGTTAAGGAGGATGGGCCATGACCCTCCACGCTGGCCTAATGCGGATTGGAGGGTATTAACGACTGCAAATGCAGCCGGGACCAACGGCTTAACGTGCCTTCCGAAGCACGGAGTAGCTCGAGATAATAATTTTTTGGTCACCCATCCTGTGACCGACCCTTGCGAAAGTTGCTTAACGACTACGATCGCGGGCCGCGGCGCTTATCCACTACGCCACCGAGCTATTATTATATAATAATTATTATATACCAACAATTAATTTTTAAAAGCTGGGAAAAGAAAGATAATCCTCATTTAAACGCAGTTTAAATTATGTTATTTTTGAACGCATCTTATTCCTAGAGAAGTCCCTCTCTTTTCAAAGAACAAGATCAATTTTATGTCTGACTAATCGAATTTGATACAAATCTTATATTATTGCCTAACCATATAAATCCGTGAAAATTAATTTCAATTTCAATTTCAATTTATTTATTAGCCATTTATAACAATATTGTTATACAAGGTATGTCAGTTCACAATTTATAGTTCAATTAAATCTTAATCTCAAGAGAAAAAATAAAACTTACAGTATCTAATTACATCATGTCATAAAAGTAGATTCGCTTATACGCATCGTCAAAAATTCATTCAAGGAATAGAGAGGATTTTGCTCAAAAGAAGATTTCAGAATACTTTTAAAGCTACTGTGGTTTTTGTTTGTAATACTTAAAGGTAATTTGTTATACATTATTATTTTTAGATAAATACCCTGTTTTTGAACTTTTTTTAGTTTTACCTTTGGATGACGTAACTTTTCATTATTACGTAGATTATATCGATGAGAATCACCTTTTCTTGCAAAATTTTCCTTCTCTACATGGATTTCCAACAAGCTATTATATATATATAAGGAAACAACGGTCATTATTCTGTCTTTCTTAAAATAGGCTCTCGCTGATGTACGCTTACTTACGTTATTTATAGTTCTTATTGCCCTTTTTTGTTGTTTGAGCACACTCTGTATTTCAGCAGCATTTCCCCATACTGTGATTGCATATCTTATAATTGAGTGAATATATGCATAATATACTGTAATGAGTGTGCGTTTGTCTACTAATGGCTTCAGTTTCATTAAAGCATAATTTGCACTGGCTATTCTTTTGCAAATATCTGTAATATGGTTAGAATGACAGATTGTATAGTCTACTGTATAGCCTAGAAATTTGTTTTCCGTTGTTGTTACTTGATTTTTATTTTTTTTAGCACAATACTTCATTACGATACTCTTGTTAGTATTCATCATAATTCCGTTTGCTTTGAACCAATCCTTAAGAATATCCATCGCGTAATCAACTTTATATCCTAAGTATTCTTCAGATTTGTCTCTTATACCTACGTGAGTGTCATCCGCAAATAAACTAATGTGAGACCAATTTGGCACAGCACTAGCAAGATCATTTATGTATATTAAGAATAATACTGGGCCCAAAATAGAGCCTTGAGGTACTCCTACATCTATTTTGCATATGTTTGAGTTGTAATTATCAACTGAGACAACTTGGCTACGGTTTGTTAGATAGCTTTCAATAATTTTTAGTTCTTTTCCTTGTAATCCATAGAATTTTAGTTTTGTTAATAAGATATCATGTCTTAAGCAGTCAAATGCTTTAGACAGATCGCAATAAATACTGGCACACTTTTGTGACGAATCGAGTGATTCCAATATGAAGTATATGACCCTGCGAATAACCATTTCTGTCGATCTATTTTTTCGAAAACCAAATTGTGCACCAGTAAACAAGTTATTGTCTTCAAAAAACTCCAAAAGTCTTGTTTTAATTATAGTTTCCAAGACTTTAGATAAGGTTGGTAAAATGCATATTGGTCTATAATTTCCAAGTTCAAAAGTGTCTCCTTTTTTATATAATGGTGTTATTTTACCTACTTTTAATATATCTGGAAATATTCCTTGTTCTAGACAAGACGCAGTCACTATATACATAAGTTCCATGAGGTAATCGTTACTTAGTAGTAGTTTGCTCATTGTGTCCGTGCTCATGTCATATATATCCAAAGATTTTTTCCTTTTCATATTAATAACACTTGTGTAAAACTCCATTTCGTCTAGATGTTTGAATATTAATGTCGAATTCGGCTTCTCAACACGATAGAGGTATTTTTCACATTCACTCTCATTAACATGCAAATTAGTAGTTAAGTTATGAGCAATACTTTTAAAAAATATATTAAATAAGTTCGCGATTTCTCTCGGATCCGAAGCATATTGACCATTTTCATTTTTTATTGGACCAATTTTACTTTTTTGATGATACCTCTTGTTGTGTCTTAACTGTTCATTTACTATCTTCCACGATTCTTTAATCTTATTACTTGATGATTGTATTCTCTTATTGTATTTGAAGTTTTTTGCTACCACCATGACTTTTCTAAGTGCTTTTCTGTATTTATTAATTTTTAATTCTTAATTCTTCACTAGGTTTGTAATTATGCAGTATTTCCATTTTAGCTAAATTATTTTTTGTGATTTCTATTCCTTTGGTTGACCATTTCTTCAAATTCTTTGGGCGAATTGATTTTCTCGCTAAAGGAAATGCAACTTTATAACAGTGATTAATTGCACCTTGTAGTATGTTCATTTTCTTATTAGCATCATAACAAATAAGAATTTCTTCTTTTAGTCGGCTAACGTATTTGTTAAATAAATAACGAAAATAGTTAAAGTTACTTTTCCATAAATTTCTTGTAATTATTTTATTATTTTTACTAGTTGTTAATTCGTCTATAATTATATTTAGTTGTATTACGTTATGGTCAGATAATTTTCTATTTAATACTGACCCCGTGGTGTTGTTCTTATTTATTTACTATAAAATTGTCTATGCAGGACGAGCTTCTACCTTGTATCCTAGTGGGTTCATTTATTGTCCATTTGCAATTGTAATTTTTTAAAATTAGGTCAAACTTGCTCAATTTGCTGTCTTTCTTTAATACATTAATATTAAAATCACCGGCTATTATAAAGTTTTTGTCCTCTCGGCAAACTCTAGAGAGTAACTTTTTTAATATATCAAAAAATAAATTTAGATCCTTTTCTGGTCTATACAAACATATTATTATTATTTTGGATGGCTGCAACTCAACTGCAGATATTTCACAATTCATCTCAAAAGACATTTTTTTAAGATCATTTCGTAATTTGTATACTAATCCTTTCTTAACATATATTGCAGTTCCGCCATGATCAAATATCTGCCAATTATAATAAGCAGCTAGTTCATAGTTTTCCAAATTCATGTACTGTATTTGATAATCTTTCCCCCATGTTTCCGTTAGACAAAGAATTTTACAATTTGTTTCGTTAATACAATGTTCAATTTCTGTATATTTATTGTGAATACTCTGAACATTCGCGTGAATAATTACCCATTCTTCAGATTTACGGGATTTAACGGAAAATCCATACTATGATGACTATTTATTATAGTATCATTTCTATTTATGATTGGTGTGCATTTGATAAATTTGAGCACAGTGTTTGCAAGGAAAGTATGTCCCATATTTGCTATAATTATTTCATTCAAATATTTTTTCAGATGTAAATATTTATTTTTCTGAAACTTTGTTATAATAATGTTAGGGTCTATGTATTTAACTTTTTCACTGAGATTAGCTATTTGTGCTATTTTACTGTTAAGGGTGTATATTATATCATTATTTTTGCCGTCATAACAAAGACCAGTAATTATTACATTAAAAGTTCTGGTCGGATCGTTTACTATATTGTTAATGAGCTGTACATAGTGTTTACCAGTTTTCAGTATTGCTTCATCGTAGTAAGTATTGATTAGTATAAAAGTATCTCCCTCGATAAGATCTTTGACTTTATAATTAACTTTATCTAAAATGTGAAGGTAACTTGCTCCTGGTTTACAAAAGTTTATAACTTCCTTCAAATCATCAACTTTGTTTCGTATTTCACTGCCTAATGCCTTTCCTACACCATCTGAACAAATGACAACCTTTTTAGATTTGATTGTTTTACTTTCTTTGTATGTTTCTATCATACTTTCATGATATGTCCGATTTTGAGTTTGTATGTCTGATTTGAAATCCAACTTCATTGTTGCTTCCATTTCTGCTATTTTATGTTGTAAGGTGAGGTTTTCTTTGTTGACATTTCTAAACCTTGAAGCCAATTTATTTAATTTTTTTAATAAACGCCGAGTTTGTTTCAGTAGTTTTTTATTCGATTTTATTTGCTTCCGGCATCTTATAAGTAAAGTGGAGGTTTTATTTTGTGGTAAAGGTGACAATTTATTTTTGTCATTTAGATTTACAGTTCTTTGAGGTTCAATGGAACAAATTTTTAACTCATTACTTAATGTCATCACAATTTCATTATCTACTTTAGCTGATTTCGTAAGGGAGGCAGTCAAACTATCCGTTGTGGGTATTATTATAGCTGATGTTGAATATTCTTCACCGCTACAAAATATTCTAGGTTTTTTCCTTTTTCTTCCCTGGGAAGGAGTACTATGCCCATCACTAAAATCAATCTTTTTATATAACTCTATTAGTTTCATATTTTTTTCGCATGTTTTCCTCAAATTCTCGTTTTCTATTAGTAAGTTGTCTACTTCATTATTGGCTGAT